GGCCAGGTGGGGACAGGCTGCCTTCAACATGTGACATGTGAGTGTGAGGAAGGAGGAACATAAGGTTCAGGATACTTGTTTCAAATCTGGGCTCTACAACGTGGGCATGCTACCTATCCCTGTGTCTCAGTTTTCTTATTTATAAAGTGGGAGAATAATAGCAGCATTTCCTTAATAGGATTGTGGTGAGGATTTAATGACTTAATACATATAAAATAGTTTAAATATGGACTAGTACATAGTAAATGCCCCATTAATAATGGCCAATATTATCAGTATGGATTTTACTATATGAACAGGATCATATTCATTTTGGGTCAAGATAGTGGTCTGATGAATAAGGGGATTATTTCTTCACAGAGTTTTCTGTGTTCCAGCCATAGTGGCCTTCAGTTCATGGAGCAAGTTGTCTTTTTTTTTTTTTTTTTCCCTGCCTTACGGCCTTTGTATATATTATTCCCTTTGACTGTAGGGTTTTCTTTCTTTGCTTTTATCTTGTTAGGTCCTATTTGTCCTTCAGATCTTACAACCAACCTTACTTTTTCAGGGGAACGTTCCATGACCTGCTAATACTTTACTACATATTCTCATAGCACAAAAATCTTCATAATTCTTATAACTGACATAATTTTACAGGTAAGAATGATCATTTGATCAAAGCCAATCTTTCCCACTAGACTCTACACTGCATTAGCATAGGGATTTTGTCTGTTTTTGCTGACCATTCGGTCCTCGATGCCTACACAGTATAATCCATGTTGCAAACATTCAATAGTTGTTTGTAGAAATTATATGTAAATGAATGAGTGAATGAAGGTGAGCCCAATAGAGTTTTCATCCCAAGATGAAATTGGGTGACAACTGGTACAATATTGAGCTCTGAGGGAAGGGCAGGACAAGTAGGTTGATGGAATGAGATAAACACCATGACAGTATTATGTACAATGTGCCATGGTGATATGGTTTGGCTGTGTCCCCACCCAGATCTCATCTTGAATTCCCATGTGTTGTGGGAGGAACCCGGTGGGAGGTAATTGAATCATGGGTTCAGGTCTTTCCCATGCTATTCTCATGGAGTGAGTAAGTCTCATGAGAGCTAATGGTTTTTAAAAGGGAATTTCCCTGCACAAGCTCTCTCTTTGCCTGCTGCCATCCATGTAAGACATGACTTGCTCCTCCTTGCCTTCTACCATAATTGTGAGGCCTCCCCAGCCATGTGGAACTATAAGTCCATTAAACCTCTTTTTCTTGCGGGTCTCAGGTATATCTTTATCAGCAGTTTGAAAACTAATACCCATTGGAAATAAGGCTGTAAAGACAGGTTCCTCTTCAAACTCCTGATGCCAGAAGTTGTTTCTTCTTTTTATAAAAGAGAAAAAACTAACTTCATAATTTTACTTTTATTTTTTTGCTTTTCATATTTATCTAAAAAAAATCCAGAATGGGTAAGAGAACAATCATCAAGGATGCAGGTGCCAGACATAGGGCAGAAGATAGCTAGAAAAGTATGCCTGAAGGAAGTTAAGGGTCTAGCCTCATTCCTACATTGTTTTAATAGCTGTACCTAACATAAATAGCTAAGCTTTCCATTGTTCTAGATTCCTCTGCCCCATCTACAAGCATGGCACAGACGGCTTGCTTTGCAAGGCCTCAGTTGAAGGACCCCATGTACACACAGGCCAGTACAGCAGTACTAGGCTGACTAGAAGGATCTCATCCCCATATGTGGTCTCATTTCAAATCTATGGCTGACTACCTTCATTGTTGTGTGCAAGATGATTTCACCTCTTGAAAATATGGTCACTTCAGCATTAAATAGTTAAATATTTATAATTATCAATTCATCCTACCTCCTTTTACATGCAGCTGAAAAATGACAGGTTAGGGACATAGAACACTGTGAACTTTATACTGTTAGAATCACCATCCATTAAATGATCACTAGCTAATGGTCACTAAATTTACAAATTAAGGAAATTATATGTAGAATACTGCAAAAACACAGTAAAAAGACTGAAGTTTGCCCATTTCTGCTCAGGAAGTCTCTTCACTCCTAAGCTTCATATGTTGTCCTTCTGGCTTCAAAATTTCTGCTATTATTACTGTTTTTCCTCCTTTTCATCTTCCTTTTGTTCCCCAGTGCCAGAACTTCCACAGCCTTCTCGCTCAGATGCCATCTTTTTGTATGCCATTTCAAAGAGCTTCAATGATGCCTGCTGAAGAGAGGATGCTGCCTGTCTAATGTTTTCTCCTGTTTCGCTGTCTTTTCTAGCTAGGAGCTCCCTCATTTTGGAAATCTCTTCTTTCAGCTTGTTGCACTATCAGCAGGTAATTGGTCCTTGAATTTTTCCGTCTTGGTTTCTGTGGTGTATATGATTCCTTCAGCCACATTAACTGCTTCAACTCGTTCCTTCTTTTACTGGTCTTCCTTAGCATATTTCTGTGCATTTTTAACCATATTTTCAATGTCATCTTTGCTTAACCCACCAGAAGACTGGCTTACAATCTGCTGCTCACGTCCTGTGCCTTTATCTTTAGCAGAAACATATATGGTCCCACTGGCATCAATGTCAAATGTAACTTCAATCTGAGGAACTCCACGAGGGGCTGGGGGAATTCCAATCAAAGTAAACTGTCCAAGGAATTTGTTGTCTCCAGCCATCTCTCTCTCACCCTGACACACTTTAGTTTCCACTTGTGTCTGATCATCAGCGGCAGCAGAGAATACCTGGCTCTTCTTGGTTGGAATAGTGGTATTCCTATAATAAGTTTGGTAAAGACACCTCGCAGAGTTTCAATACCCAGAGAGAGGGGAGTGACATCAAGGAGCGGCACATCTGTAATATTGACAGCCAACACACCTCCCTGAATGGCAATTCCAATGGCCACAGCCTCATCAGGATTGACAGCTTTACTTGGGGCTCTGCCAAAAAAAAATCCTGCACAGTCTGCTGAACCTTGGGCATCCTAGTCATGCCACTGACAAGAATCACTTCTCCTATGTCACTCTTGCTGACTTCTGCATCTTGCATAGCTTTTTGGCATGGAGTGATAGTCCTCCTGATTAGATCAGTGACAATCCCTTCAAATTAAGCACGGGTCAACTTCATATTCAAATGCTTGTGTCCAGAAGAATCCATTGTAAGATAGGGCAAATTGATGTCAGTCTGCACAGATGAGGAGAGTTCACATTTAGCCTTTTCAGCAGCTTCCCGTACCCTCTGAAATGCCACATTGTCTCTGGTCAAATCGACCACCATCTCTCTCTTGAACTCCTTCACAATGTGCCATAGCAAGACCTCGTCAAAGTCTTCCCCACCTAAGAAAGTGTCCCCACGTGTGGATTTCACCTCGAATACTGCTTTCTGAATTTCCAGGATAGAAATATCAAAAGTTCCACCACCCAAATCATATACGGCAATGACTTTGTCTTCTGATTTGTCTAGACCATAGGCAAGAGCAGCAGCTGTGGACTCATTAATCACCCAAAGCACATTCAGTCCAGGTATCTGGCCAGCATCTTTAGTTGTCTGTCTCTGCAAGTCATTGAAATAAGCTAGGACTATGATGACAGCATTGTTTGCTGTGTGCCCCAGGTAATTTTCTGCCGTCTCTTTGATCTTCATCGACACAAATGCTCCGATCTGACCTGGAGAATACAGTTTCCCATGAGCCTCAACCCAGACATCACCATTGGAGGCACGAACAATTTTAAAGGGAATATTTTTAACGTCTTTCTGTACTTCAGGATCATCATATTGCCGGCTAATGAGACGCTTGGTAGCATAGGATATATTGTTTGGGCTGTCGCTTGGCAGGCATGCCAACAAGTCGCTCACCATCTGCTGTAAAGGCCACAACTGAAGGGACGGTTCTGGCACCTTCGGCATTCTCCAGCACCTTTGCTTGTGTACCTTCCATAACTGCCTCGTAGGAGTTGGTGGTACCGAAATCAGTACCAACAACTGCTCCCTTGATTGCTTCCGATGCATAATCCCGCCTTGAAATAACTCTAGAAGCCTCATGACTAAGGCCATTCCAGCCATCCTGGTGGAGGGTGGCCGTAGGACCCCGGGAGGCTGCGGTACCCGCTAGACCGGCTGTTGCAGCTCAGCTGGAGCTTATCATGGCAGCTAGATGGAGGAGTACCAGGCAGCAAACAGGCGCTCGGGCGGCTGGGAGCTGTGCGGTGTGGTCATAATTTTATAATATTTAAAAAGTTGCATGCAATCAAGTGCATAATATTAAGCATACAGTTCCAGTTTTGATAAGCAGTAACCATTATGACTAGCACTATAACCAACTGGGCTACTTCTCTCCGTGTCTACTAGCATTGTCTTGCATAGTTTGGCATCAGTCAGTCCTCATTGGTCTTCTCACTTCCATTCATGTTCCACTTTGACTCATTCTCCTCCAGCAGCCAAACTAATTCAATTATTACATGATCTAGATTATTTGATAATAACTTCTACTGCTTAAATTTGCTTAGATTACTTGATACTTGATACTACTGCTTAGATTATTTGATAATACTCTCTTAAAAGCCCCCACTAGCTCCCAATTGTTATAGAATGAACTCAAATTATTTAACAGGGTCTAAAAGGCCCGGTGTATTCTGGTCCCTACCTTGCTCCCAGCCTTGTCTTGCACCATTCTCCCTCTTGCATTCTGTACTCCTGTAACATGGATCTTCCTTCAGTTCCTTGAATTTGCCAAATTCTTTCTTACTCTAAAGTCTAGATAGAGACACTCTTTTCCACTCCTTTGTATCCTTCAGGTCTGTGATAGGCAGATGGTGGCCTCACAAAGATGTTTATGTCCTAATCTCCAGGAGCCTGTGAATACATTACCTTACATGGCAAAAGGAGCTTTGTAGATGTAATTAAGTCAAGGATATTGAGATGAAAATATACACCTGGATTGTTCGGCTATGCGCAGTTTAATCATAATAGTCATTATGAGCAAAAGAGGGAGGCAGGAGAGCCAGTCAGCAAAGGAGATGTGAAAATAGAAGCTGGGTTGAGGAGCTTGTCGGCTTTGAGGACAAAGGTGGTGATGAGCTGAGGACAGCAGGCAGCCTGTGGACACTGAAAAGGAAAGGAACGGATTCTCTTGTAGAGCCTCCAAAGAGACACAGCCCTGCCAGCATCTTGACTTCTGCCCCATAAGACCCATTTCAGACTTCTGGCTTCTAGAACTGTAAGGTAATCAATTTGTGTGGTTTTAAGTCATGCGGTTCCTAGTTATTTCTTACAACAGCAATAGAAAACTAATGCAAGTTCTCTGCTTTAAATGCTAACTTTTCAGAGACACCTTCCCCTAGCCACTCCATTTAAAATAAAGCCTGATATGGTTATGGTTTGGCTCTGTGTCCCCACTAAAATCTCATGTAGAATTGTAATTCCCAATATTGGGAAAGGGACCTGGTGGGAGGTGATTGGATCATGGGGACAGATTTCCCCCTTGCTATTATAGTGATAGTGAGTTCGTTCTCACGAGATCTGATTATTTAAGTGTATGGCACTTTCCCTGTTGCTCTCTCTCTCCTGTCACCATGTAAAGATGTGCTTGCTTCCCCTTTGCCTTCTGCCATAATTGTAAGTTTACTGAGGCCTCCCCCACTGTGCCTCCTGTACAGCCTGCAGAACTGTGAGTCAGTTAAACCTCTTTTCTTCATAAATTACCCAGTCTCTGGTATGCCTTTTTAGCAGCGCGAGAACGGACTAATATGGAACCCTTTACCCCATGCCTTAACAGGTCTCAACCGCATTCCCACCCAGCAGTCTCTATGCCACTCCTGTGCTTGTTTCCTGTATCGTAACACTTACCATTTGTATTATAATTATCTTTTACTTATTCTTTATCATTGTTGCCAGAATGTGTGCTCTGTGAGGACAAGGATAACGTCTCATATACCACTGTATCGTCAGGAACTAGTATTGAAGCTGCAATTTTTAAATTATGTGCTTAATCAGTATTTATTAATGATTCATTTCTGTGCTGTCCAATATAGTAACCACTAGTCACATGTGGCTTTTGATCATTTGCAACACAGCTAGTCTAAATTGAAATGTGTTGCAAGTGAAAAATACATTTTGAAGTCTCACTATAATAAAAGAATGTAAAATGTCTTAATAATACTTTTTTGTTGATTATATGTTGAAATGATGACATTTTGGACATACTGGGTTAAATAAATATATTATTGAAATTAATGCTGAATTATTAAAATTAATGTTACTTCTTTTTACTTTTATTAACATGGCTACCAAGACATTTAAAATTATGTATATGATTTACATTCTATTTCTATTTCACAGTGCTTAGATTGTGGATATCTTGAAAGAAAACCCCACATTTTATTTCACTTTGTATGAACCAAAATTATTTGCACATCGTAGCTTCTCAATAGTTTGCTGCATGAATGCTTGTTAACTTATTTTATTAAGAATATGTAACATTGGCTGGGCTTGGTGGCTCACGCCTGTAATCCCAGCACTTTGGGAGGCTGAGGCAGGCGCATCACCTGAGGTCAAGAGTTCGAGAACAGCCTGGCCAACATGGTGAAAACCCGTCTCTACTAAAAATACAAAAAAATTATCCAGGTGTGGTGGCAGGTGCCTGTAATTCCAGCTACTTGGGAGGCTGAGGTTGGAGAATTGCTTGAACCCAAGAGGTGGAGGTTGCTAAGAATGCACCATTGAACTCCAGCCTGGGTGACAAGACTGAAACTCTACTTAAAAAAATAAAAATAAAAAATAACATTGTACCAATGCATAAAATTGGGCCCAAAGAGAAGATTTGCATTCAGCAATTTTTACCAACTAGATATTTGTGGTTACATGTGATACTTTTTACCAGATAAATTTTCTAGCTGCTTTAAAATTAATGTTATTAATATATGTTATCAATCTGCAATTGAAAATAGAGCTAGATGGCAAGATGATGACTTAGACGTTCTTGTACAGTTTAATGCAATGGGATTCTACCTTCAGGGGCACAGCTTTTTCCTAAGAACACCCACTTTCTTATGAAACAGTTAAAAGTCTATCTAAGAAAATGTGCTAGGCATTGCTTCTCAGTCTTTGTATGAAAATTACTCTGAATGACCAGGGAAGGAAGTATATATACCCATGAGTTGAGAAATGAGGGCATTTAGAACCTAGCCTTGGGTTCTGCCCTCTCTCAGTTTGCTTGAGTTTTCTTTAACATCCATTGTTTTGTCTGAAAAACTCATGACAATATTACATTCATGACAATATTACATACAATATGGCTGTATTTGTCTTAGTATAAAGATATTCCTCTGTAGTCCAAATCCTCAAATAAAATAGATACTCCATGCTGAGTATCTATTTTTGTCTGAGGCTTTTTGTACTCTCCATGTACCGATCCACCCAGGGGCACTGGTACCTCACTCTGAGAAGAACAGAATTAAGACTGATATCCCGAGCCTTGTCTTTCTGGGGAGTCCTTACATGACTGTAATGATGATTGGTTAAGCAGTGAGTTGGGTAGCAGCTGGTGGGGAGGGGATGAAGTGGTTCTCCCAGTTGATGTGGGGCTGCAGAGTGAGGGGAAACAACAACAAAAAAGCATAGCAAAAATATGGAGGCCATTCCAAGGCCCGTGTTTATGGCCAAGACAAATTGACAGATGGGCTTTGTCTCTACCCACCTTATATTTCCTTCTGACTTCAGGCTGCCTTTGGGATTGTTGCACGTGTGTGTGCCCATTCGTGTGTTTTGCGTTTATATGCCTTTTAAAGCAACACTTAGAATCCACTTGCGTATATAAAAGTTAGAAGAAGGGGCATGGCATTGTGGCACACGTCTGTAGTCCCAGCACTGTGGGAGGCCGAGACGGGCGGATCACAAGGTCAGGAGATCGAGACCATCCTGGCTAACATGGTGAAACCCCGTCTCTACTAAAAATACAAAAAAACTAGCCGGGCGAGGTGGCGGGCGCCTGTAGTCCCAGCTACTCGGGAGGCTGAGGCAGGAGAATGGCGTAAACCCGGGAGGCGGAGCTTGCAGTGAGCTGAGATCCGGCCACTGCACTCCAGCCTGGGCGACAGAGCGAGACTCCGTCTCAAAAAAAAAAAAAAAAAAAAAAAAAAATTAGCTGGGCATAGTGGCATGTGCCCAGGGGGCTGAGGCAGGAGAATCGCTTGAGTCCGGGAGGCAGAGGTTGCAGTGAGCCAAGATCGCACCACTGCACTCCAGCCTGGGTAGCACGGCAAGACTCTGTCTCAAAAAAAAAAAAAAAGTTAGAAGAAGGGAAAGACAGAGTCTCATTTTTCTAGACCATTCTCTTCCTTGGAGATGGCCCCTTACCTAAACCTAGTGATAGCCTGACCCGTCCTCCTTGTTTTGGTAACTGGCAATTTACATGCATTTTGTTATTTAATCCCCATTTTAGCCCTATAAGGTAGAAACTGGTTATTACCATTTGACAGGTGAACAAACTGAGTCTCACAGAGGTTACAAGGTCTGCCCATAGTCTACCTGACCTGTAAGTGCCCAAGTCAGGATTATGAGATTGTGGTTCTTTGCTGTCCCCCATCACAGTTTGCTGCCTATCCAGCAGGTTTAGAGGCCATTTCATCTTGATTTTACAATTTCTTTTCAGTGCCTCCTATATCCTAGGGATCATGCTGGACTTAAAAGAATATACAAAGATGAATACAATTTGTTCCCCACTAGCTCCCAGGCCAGAAACTTTTCCCCTATATGACACTCAAAGCAGGATGTAAGAAAGATAGGAACTACTCAATTACTTTCTTGGGGCCATTCATCCTGAATAACCTAGAGTTAAACATTTCTTATTCAACATAGGTAGGTGAATGAGGCAACAATGTCTCCACGAGAAACAAAACAAAAGTCATAAAAAAAATTGGCACTTGAACAGAAAAGATGAACCACCATTGCTGTAGGTCCTTTGTCTCAATCATTCAGTAGAATGGAAAAAAAAAATGACTTCATAAATCAGTCGAACTTGCTCTCATTCTGCCATTCACAGAACATGGAATTACTTGCTTCGACTGATAAATGGATGTCTGTGCCAGAGTACTGTCACTGAGGCTTATATAACTTACAGCGCAATTATTACTTATGTCTTAGAAAGAACTTATTTATTTTAGCTTATATCATCTTTTCATTCTTGAAACATGTCCTTTATGTATTTGCTTTTGAAAACTGGAGTAGATGCCAGTGTAGAAAGAAGCTTTTCTATTACCATATCTGAAATATAGTTTTGAAAGTGGGTGATATGAAACAGTACGTTGATTTTTTGTGTTTTATCATCAGAAGCCAGAGCAAAAGGAAAATAACAACTGCATTTTAATAAAATTAAGGCTATTTATGATTGCACTCCAATAAGTGCTAAAACCAGAGTGTGTGGAGTGGTCAAGCCTTAACTTCGTTAGTGCACAAAAGATTGATTTATTACATTTTAGTTGTTAGAGTCCAAAGGGGATAGGCACAACTTATCTACATATAAAAATATACATAGAGATACATACATGTGTGTACCCAATATATACACGCAGACACATAATACACATAAAAGCTTATTAAAAACAACCAAATTCTATGTTAATCCTCTTAAAAATGTAAAAAGCCGAATCTTCAATTTTGCTGTGCATCTCCTACAATCTCAATTAATGCCTCTGGGGAAGACAGCTGAATTTCAGCAACAGTATATAACTTGGTAATTGGACACAACTCCAAGTCATTTGTTAGGACTCCCAAGTGTTTTAGTGAAAGTTGAAAATTAATCTGTAACCATTCATTTACATACATATACATACACACATATATATGTATGTGTATGTATATGTATATATACGCGTGTGTGTGTGTGTGTGTGTGTGTGTATTTGGAGACGGAGTTTCACTTTTGTTGCCCAGGCTGGAGTGTGATGGCACGATCTCAGCTGACCGCAACCTCTGCCTCCCAGGTTCAAGGGATTTTCCTCTCTCAGCCTCCCGAGTAGCTGGGATTACAGGCAAGTGCCACCACGCAAGGCTAATTTTTGTATTTTCAGTAGAGAGAGGGTTTCTCCATGTTGGTGAGGCTGATCTGGAAGTCCCGACCTCAGGTGATCTGCCCACCCCGGCCTCACAAAGTGCTGGGATTACAGGCGTGAGCTACTTCGCCTGGCCTCATTTTTGTATTTTTAATATGTGCGTCATGAATCTCTT